CATTTTGGGTTGCCGACGCTTTGCTTAAGATGGTAGCGAGGATAATTCGGTCCCATTTATTCGCTCCGCCACGCTAACAAATAGCAGAACGCTTGGTAACCACACGCTCGCGTCCACACGGCAGTGTAACAATTGGAAACGGTCATAACTAATTTACTGCACTACTACGTAATATTGAGAATGCTCTCGTATGCAAAAGAAAAAATAAATACTCGAAAAGAGGACGACAAGGCTGATCAAGTTAGGAAGCTATGAAAACTGGTTAGTAACACTTCGTAATTGCAGTCGTAGGAGATTCTGAGTTCACGCACTTTAAATGAGTATAATGCGATTGAGTCCAAGTGAGTGTAAATGGAACATTGAAAAAAAAAAAAAATTCGGCAGATCCCACGTACCTGGGAATCGACGTTATGCGAAGCATGCGGAGGGAAGGTGACCATGTCGCAATTTTTTTTATTGAGCGACATGTCACGAAATTACGCTTACTATATGGAAACATGTTGCACGCATCTTGCAAATTTTATTACGTTGCAATCAGCGTATGTAAGCTGATGTATTCCGGCTGAAATGAAGACAGAGAGCCCCCCGGATGTTATGTGCCTGAACGTATTTCTCAGTGCGGACGTGTGTTGAAATCCATTTTCCCATGATTCACTGCCGCTTGCGAAAGTGATCGTGTTTTCGTTTCTTTCTCTTTTGTTTCGTGACGGGTGTTCAATGTGGGGAGAGAAAGATGGTGGGGAGAGTGTTTTCGTACAGGATGTAGCCTGCCTACTTACACGGGAGACTGCACTCGACATTACAAAAGTCTGCCTTTCCGTGTTTATGACGTCGTCGCATCTTGAAGCGATAATCATTCCATATTGCATTAGTGAATGAATTATCCGATCTAAAGAGAATAATGTGAGAGTATATAGCAAGCGAAAGCCACTTACGCGTACGCGCATCTCCTGTGTACCGTTACGAAACCAAGGTTTAACTCATTCTAACTCAAGGGCTGCCGGAAGCCACAAAAGCGAGCACATTTCCAAACGCTTTGAAGGTCGTTGGGCAGCCCTTCCCGTTCAGATGAGCGCACAGCGTCTCGCACATTGCTGCGTACAAGGCCTTAGCGGTGCTTGCCGTGTTTCTAATCTTGAAGGGCAGCGCTACGTCGAGGATGCCGCAACACACGCCGCGTTTCTCCGTGTGGCGTTGTGACCAGGTTTTGCTCTTGATACCTACGTCTTTCCCTCGGTCGTGGTTCGGACGCTCGATTTGTCCGCAAAGGAGGCTGGGGCAACGGGTCGCCACAAAACTGTGTCGCCGGCAGCCGTTACGTCCGGGGCGGGTCGTCGACAGCGGACAGCAAATGCTGAATGCGTAGTACGGTCACGCACCCCTTCGGATATGTGTGTGTCGACCATTAAGTATGTGTTTATTTTCCTTTTAGCGAGGGAGGAAAATAACGTAAGAGCAGGCGGGGGGAGTTCCTCCACAGATGTTTCATGCGCTATTCGCGTTTCGCAAGAGAACTGCGCAAATAAGGGCCGTTGCAAGAATGGAAACACTTGGCCCTCAAGTGCGCAGAGAGGTGACCGCCGCTCTATAGAGCCCGCGAAAAGCGCCTGTTTGGAATTCGTCACACAGCTATAGAATGAAACTACGCTCATGTTTGCAGCTCGCGGCCGTTTTTTGCCGGAAAGCGGCGTGCACGCTACGCCGCGCATGCCGTCCTTGATGCGCTCTTGTATAGAGCGTATATTCTCGGGGAATTCTTACCCATGTACTTAAGAACCCACGCAGTTGCTGGCAGTTTTGCCGCTCAGCGAACAGCGCTCGAAGCGCGCTGTTTCGGTCGCACACGCCAAAGCAGTGAGGACGTCTAGCCGTTTGCGAGGAACTGCGCCTGAAGTGGCCCTTTGTCTGTGCATGCAACCATTGCTGGAGCTGCGTGGCGCTGCGATTTCTAGAGCAGCCTCGTCTGTCACGCTTCGGGAGTCTAATTGAACGGGGGGAGGGAAGGGGGAGGGAACGGGCTCCGTGAAGCACAACATGGTCTTCAGTGTTTGCTTGTCGGCCGGCGTGCAATAGGTTTCGTCATTTCGGAGAAGATTGCGCAACTGAGCGCTTCATGCAGCCGGCATGCTTCAATAATTTTGGTGTCAACCATGCGCAGTTAGCTGCCACGCTACAGCTATCACCTCCCTCACAGCCCATTCCCAGGCTCTTCGGCGAGAAAAAAAAATAACCTTCGATGATTCGTGCAGCGCACGTACGTCGGCGCAGATCCGCCTAACGTTCCCCAGTATGGGGTTTCTAATAGTCACTTCGTGGTTTTGGTGCACGAAACCTCATAATTATTGCGTTACATTAATATCTGTTGTACGATATTACGACAATCGACCTTACTTGCATGAAATTGAACCGGACTACCAGAACGACAGCGCAGCCAACGGGGACAAAGTAATAAAGCCAACTTTGCTCGTCAGTTACCTGACAGACCTTCCAGGAGGTCTCACGGCCCCAATTGGATGAACCCGTGGCAAGAATCTTATCCGATTCGTGTTCTTGTGTCGTTCTTCGTCTCCGTTGATGAATGCAGCGTATCTTGTCACTTCGCAATGCATGCCATACCAACTAGCCCCGGTGGAAGCACTTCTAAAATTAGACGAAAGCGAAAGGACACAATGAATGCTGACTTCTCTCGATTCTCTATGAGTCGTGGCACACATTCATTTTTTTTTCACCGACTTTCTTAACGACAGCAGCATTATAGCTATTCGCCATAACTCCATTATCTTCGGATAATATTCGATCAAGAAGTCGTGGACGAACGAAACCAACAAATGTTATTGTGTCATTACCGACTCAATTTGCAGCATTTTTTTGTTGGCATGCATCGTTTTACTATAACGCATTATACTGCTGATCACGCTGGAAATAACGTTACATATAGGGATATTCATCTTTTCGCTTTAATCTCAAGCCTACTTACATCTGCTTCGAATGATTCTGTTTTCCTGTTCGTTAGGTCCATTTTATCATTCACTAGGTGCTTTTATCTCACTCTCCAATTTCACCGTTATCCTGATGATTTTTTTTCTTGGCAGAAAAGACTCTTTTAGAAGTGCTTTCATCCTTTTTGTTTTCTTAGGAGAAGCTACCATTTGACAAGGCCAGCTTTTCGTGGTTTTCAGGAGAGGAACCATTGTTGTTGTTTTTTCCAGTTTAGGTGCTCTGTGCGGCGGTATAAGATAGACAGAAATAAAACCAATGAAAAACACAGCACCACAGTAGCCCACTGCATGTCACAAAGTTTCGGCGTTGAGAAAAGCTTCCGGAATCATTTTTTCCCCCACCTTCTTCTTCCCGTGCTAGGTGAATTGCTCTCAAACCATGATTGATTTGATTGATATGTGGGGTTTTAACGTCCCAAACCCACCATATGATTATGAGAGACGCCGTAGTGGAGGGCTCCGGAAATTTCCACACCTGGGGGTTCTTTAACGTGCACCCAAATCTGAGCACAAGGGCCTACAACATTTCCGCCTCCATCGGAAATGCAGCCGCCGCAGCCGGGATTCGAACCCGCGCCCTGCGGGTCAGCAGCCAAGTACCTTAGCCACTAGACCACCGCGGCGGGGCTGCTCTCAAACCAGCCCAGAACTTCAGCAAACGAGGCCAAACTTACGGCTCATCAATCATCGCCTCGCATAGAAATCGTATAACACGTGGCGCTCTCGCAAGCGTTTTCCGCGCCGTCCGACCCTGCCTTCGTCTTCGTTCGGGTGGGCTCACGCTACGCGGCTCGCGCCCAACCGCGCACCGGTCGCTCATCTCGGAGGCTGCGACGGGAAACGGGGCCGCACGCCGTGCGCGGAACAGCGGTGCAACGGCGCGCATCGGCCCCCGCTCGGCGTGCTGACGGAGTGTAATGCGATTTTCTTCCGCTACGGCCTCTCCCGAGGGAACGGCGGCGCTGGTCAGCCGTTCGCTTGGCTTCCCATGTGCAGCAGCACAATCCACGGGTGGCCGTCCCACCTGTGGCCCAACGAGCTCGCAGTTCGTGATGAAAGTCGGGAAACTTATTCGCAGGAGACAGTGCGCTCGGCGAGGACTCGTACACTCCCCTTTGATATATAGCGCGACTTTCTGGACGGTCTATTCTATCTTTCTATTTTTTTTTCTTTTCAAAGAAATTACTGCCACTGACACTAACGTGGAAGTGAAATATCCCTTTGTAAAGGCAAGATTGATGATTGATATGTGGGGTTTAACGTCCCAAAACCACTATATGATTATGAGAGACGCCGGCAAGAGACAAGTTGGACCCCCCCCCCCCCCCCCCCCATTGGCTTCCACCTTGAATCTGCTGGCCGCGCTTTGGTGAGCGCACAAAGTGATTAGTTGCTCTAGCCAGCGCTATCAGCGCTAATCATGCCAGCGCTATCAGCGCTAATCAGCCAGCGCTAATCATGCTCCCATCGCTACTTTATTAACATTTTTAGCCTCAAGCAATTTTCTTCAGAGGAGCAAAAAAAAAAAAAAAAAACTGTTCGTGGCACGTTTTAAAGAGAACCGAATGTACTGTCTCAACTTGTAGAAATAAAATAAATAAATAAATACTGCATGCGTGTTCTTTACCTAAAAAAAAAAGATAGCGTCGTATAGACGCATGCGCCTTTTTGGGTACATTCTGCTCTTAAACGAAAAATGCTGTGCATATTGACTGGTCTGATTGGAGGTGACTTTGTTTTCGCGTCAGCCAACGTTCACACTATACACTTAAGCGCCGTCAGTTTTGACAGATCGCTTCCGCGTTAGGGTTCCTGGCCGATTTGGCACTTGGCAGGGGTGAGCGTGAGTGCACATAGCGATGCCACTACCAATGCAGTCGCCACATAAATAATTGACACTTCCTAACAGCAGATTGTAAACGTTGAGAACAGTGAATGTGCATTTATTGAATGGTTAAAATGATGCAGGCGCACATAGATTTTCTCTTTTGTTTGTTGCAGTTCGCCCTGTCTTCATTCACACTGGCATCCGGGACCTGTCAAGGCACTTCCTGATTAACTAAAAGACGCGGGTCACCTGGCATGAAAATGACAAACATTTACAAATGAAATTCAGAAGGTAAATTAAACTGCTTTGTCTGAGGCGATGAAACAGAAAAAAAAAACAAAAGAAACAGAATGATATAACAATATCTGCGGTTGTACGTGACAAAACCACAATTTGAAGAAGGAGCACGTTGTAATGGAGGGCTGTGGGAACATTTATCATGGGGGGGGGGGGGGGGTCTTTGACGTGCGCTGACGTGGCACAGTAAACAGGCCTCTATAGCACGTCACCTTCATGGAAATTCGACCACCGCTGTCGGGTATGAACCCGCGACTTTTGGCTCTGAAGCCGAGCACCGTATCGCTACACCATCTCGGTAAACACAAATGTAATAATATAAGACTTCCACTTTAGTGCACAAAGATGAGCTACGCTTTCTCTTCGTGTAAGTTTACACATTATGTAGTTATTGAACAATTAAACTTGCTGCATTTCGTGGCATCAAGCTGTTTTTCACTGTTTTGTCTAAGCTATGTATAGCGACAGAAGGAAGAATTCAATAAAGTTCTGTTCAGATCCAGTACTTTCTGTAGCGCATTCTCATTATTATAACCGTCAGTGATTGTTGCCTTGCCAACGCTTCTTAATACTTTCGAAATTAAAAAAAAACAAGAAAAAAAAAGAAATTATATCTACTCGAAATGTGGTGATTTCTCTGTTCAGTCAGGTAAGAAGTGTTGTAAGGTCAAGAAGTTGCGCCCATATGTTTCTCGTGACAACCTCGCTGTCAAGTTTGTTCTTATCTGTAGACGAAATGGGAATGGTGTGGCCATGGATAGAGCTCGGATGAAAAGACCCTGCTATATTCTAAGTGTTTATCGCAGAAAATTACGAAGACGGCAACGAGAAGCGACACACGAAGCGCGGTGCGCTAATTCTTGCCCCGTCGGCCAAGTGAGCGATGCCGGGCTAAGCTAGTCAATAATTTATCCGCTGATGACCACTGTCACACACAATTCCAATTTCAGCAGGAGGTAGCCTACAAAGAATGGAGAGAGAGAGAGAGAGAAACGAGAAAAAAGGAAGGCAGGGAGGTTAACCAGATGCTAGTATCCGGTATGCTACCCTACACTGGGGTTGGGGAATAGGGGGTTGAAAGAGAAAGGGAGAGTTAAAAAATAATTGAGAAAAAAACACCGACAGCCACGCACACACAAAAATCAGTCCACTCAGAGGCGTTCCGACAGGCCAGTAGTTCGTAAGAAGCCTAGTAGCGCTTGCACGGCTTTCTTCTGTGACGATGAGTCATGACGATGGCGCAGTATACTTTTCTTCTGACAACGGCTAGTCATCTAACCGGTTTAGTTTATTAGAAAAGTGTTGTCTTTCCAGGTTGTATTTCGGGCAGTCACACAGGATATGTCGAATTGTTTCTTCATCTCCGCAGTGTGCACAGTCGGCGGTGTCGGCCATACCTATGCGGAACGCGTACGCACGGGTAAACGCGACTCCCAACCATAGTCTGCACAGAGCAGTAGCGTCGCCTCGTCGAATTTTTGTTGGAAGCTGCATGCTTAACGTTGGATCAAGGAATCGTAATCTTGCATGCGTAAAGAAAGGCTCATTCCAAAGAGCCATGGAGCGTTGGCGAGCAAGAATGCGGAGCCTCCTAGCAGCGTCCGTCCTTGAGAGAGGTATTGACTGGTCGTTGTCTTCTGTATGGGCTGAACGGGCAGCTTGATCAGGAAAAATGGAGGGTCTCCAAAGTAGATTATAGGCTGTAACACATCACCCTCCAGAGAACGCGATCTCTCCTATAAGGAGCGATAAGATGCACGATTAAAAAACCGAGAGAGGGAGAGAGAGAAATCAGACATTTTAGAAAACAAAGTATTTATCTATCGTTTGTTTCGGCACCATGGAAGTGCACATAACGTTTAAAATTTCCGAAGACTTTTGTGTGCTCTGGTGACCATTCGTAGCGGGACCAATCCTGATATGAATGAAATAGTGGCACGCTTGATTTAGAGCGCCTTCAGTGTACCGTCGTGCATATGAGGACATGGGCGGTGTTTCCACAGTATTATTTTATACGCTGTATGCACTACCAATGGCCTCAAGATATTGTCACTACTTCGAGACACTATTTCGTATACATCGGATACCACGACAGACGTACCTGTGCGATATTTTTCGCCTGTTTATAGGTAGCAACACCAGTCCGTTTGCCTGCATAGCTTTCCCGACATTTTGGGACGTTAAACACCAAATATTATAAGCTTCCCCCACAGCACTTGGCATACACAATGTTTTCAAACATTTTTTTTTCATCTGCAAAAGTCGAAAGAAGAAGCGATCCTTCCTTGCGACAGATTATGGGTATAAGGAGGCAGCGTAAAATACTATTTTTTTTTGAAGTCACACACACCAAATATACAAGTCACCTTATAAAAAAAAAACATTTTGTTTCGATGAACAGCTATAGATATTGTACGCCTTGTTGACGATTCGGGCATACACTTGCTTAGCTTGCTTCAGTTCGCCGCGCGTTTGTGCACGCTTCAGCCGCTCCATCTGGCACCATTTTCTGTGTGCGGAAAGCCAGGTCGAGATAAGCGCACACTGGGCAACACCGGAAGAATCCTCCACTCCCCCCTTTCAACTCCTTGAAAAGAAACGTTCTTTTCCTGCTGCTCAGAATTTCCGGAAATTTCGCACCCCCCCCCCTTCTCAACAGACATACTTGCAGAACACTCTGTATCTTTTGCTCAGCCATTCTCATACTTTTCTCCACCCCGTTCATTTGGTGCCTGACCGGCACGCAACTTGTGCCGCATGCCAAAGCTTCCCAGCAACGCACGAGTTCCGAGTCAGAAGCGTTTTAGTGCCTTCCCACAGTGTCCGGGAAATGTGCGCTTCGAGTAAGCGAACACAGAGTCTTACCCTTCCGTGCTCCATGAGAATCTTCCTATATATGTTCCGCACGCCGTTTCCAGCTTTTTCCTCCAACATGCTCTGAGGAGGCATGGACACCGATATTTGGCGCTCGTACAGGATGGCGACGGGATTTTCCCCGCTGAGGCGCCTATCCTTGTGCAGGAAGGTAGAGGAAACCTTTTGTTAGCCGCAATCATCCTATAATTTTGCGCATGTACGCACATATTTTTATTTATCGTGGCGATAATAGTCTGCACAGGGCATATTATTAATTGCCGGTCAGTCAGCGTTGGTCTGTCCACTATTGTGAAAGCTCGGTTTCTTTTGACCGTGTAACGCAAACGCTGGCACCAGGAACTGATAATTCTCGCAGCGAACCTAAATATTGGCAACAAAAGCTACCAAGGTGGGAGAATGTAGCTATCGGCCAGATCAAAGGACGGAGGAAAGCAGCTTGGAGCACGCGATGGCAACACCAGAAGGGTATATTAAGAATGTACGAATACCAAATATAGTAGTTTTCGAATCGAATTAGGAAAATAAGAAGGTAAATATAGCATTCAATATTGCAGTTTTTATTTTCCCAAACCTCAATACTCATGAGTTGTAATGCAAAAAGCTGTGACACTATGAAACTGGTTAGCGAACGAAGACGGGATCAATACGACGACACACAGAGCGCTCTCTGTGTCGTCTTTTTGTACCCGTTTTTTTTTTGTTTCAGACAATGTCAGTGTACGAACTAGATATCACCCAGACTCTGAAGAGTAGCTGCTTCACATGTTCGGCAATAAGCTTCTCTCAGCAAAAAGAAAAAATAGACATTCGCTCAGAGCAGCGTTCAGAATTGCTGCTGTTCGCCATGCCGAAAAGCTGATCACGAGGCGAGACAGAAGCTTGGTATTTCTATACTTCACGGTGGTGGAACAGTGGCGAATGCAGGCGTCATGAAGAGGATTGCAGGTGTCATGAAGAAGAATACAGGTGTAATGAACATGATGAAGGCAGTTCATGAAGAGGATGATGTCTCTAGCAAGGTCGAGTAGTTAGTTGCGAGGCTATACGTTGATGAATTTATGTAGCGGAATTCGGTCAGTGGTATGGTTTTGTTGTTTGTTTTCTTTAAGGGCGATATTTGTGGATGGGAGGGGACGCAGTGTGTAAATTTTGTATTGTTTTCTTTAAGTGCGATATTTGTGGATGGGAGGGGACGCAGTGTGTAAATTACTGTACTGTGTGTTTGTTTAAGCTAACGAAACAGCATGCGTCTTGCAAAGAGGGTAGATACATCGGCTTTCATTAATTATCATCGAGCGGCGGGGCCGTGAAGCCGTTGTAATGGTGGTATTATCGAGCGGTGATTATTCGAGAAATCTAATAGCAGATATTCGATTCGTGAATCGGGCTATTCGCTGAGCTATTACACGACTCGTATTCAAGTATTCGTACACCCGTAGCAGATGCGGCCCTGGTACAGGCAACTTGCGAACAAGCTGCCATCTAGTGGGTGTTAGCGATGACAATAGACAGCGACATTTTTCAAAAGCTGAGATAGGAACACTACTTGTATGAGCACCACTCTGTCTGTGCTGACGCTCCCTAAGAATATATTATACGGCAAGGATTGATTGATATATGGGGTTTTCACCCCAAAACTAGCATACGTTTATGAAAGATGCGCTGAGTACAAAACAATGGCGAGGTAAAACAATATGAAGTTCACGAGAGAAATCGTGCAAAGAAAATTAAAGCTGAAAAACATGTACATAAATGTACACAAAAGAAAAAAATATTGACGCTGGTGTGCAAATTATATAAAACGTTTGCTAGTAAAAGTAATTTTAAGCGTAATAACGAAAAGGCGTGGCTGCCGGAAATGGTTTCTGAGCACTTCGTAAACCGAAGTGGCAAGAGCTTACACGAAAGCAGTATTCCTGCGGCAAGTGGCGCGTTACATCACTGCCGTTGTTTCCTCTCTAGACGTGTCATAGCTATACATGAGACGAACTGGGTGCAGGAAAAAGTAGGATTGTGAAAACTACGCGCTGCGCATGGAGGCGG